GCAGGGCCACCAAGGAAGGCACAGGAATGACAAGGCCACCAAGGAAGGAACAAGGCTGGCAGGGCCACCAAGATAAGGCACAAGGCTGGCAGGGCCACCAAGGAAGGAACAAGGCTGGCAGGGCCACCAAGATAAGGCACAAGGCTGGCAGGGCCACCAAGTTGGACACAGGGATTGCAGGGCCACCAAGGAAGGCACAGGAGTGGCGGGGCCACCAAGGACGGTACAAGGCTGGCAGGGCCACCAAGTTGGACACAGGGATTGCAGGGCCACCAAGGAAGGCACAAGGCTGGCAGGGCCACCAAGATAAGGCACAAGGCTGGCAGGGCCACCAAGGAAGGCACAGGAGTGGCAAGGCCACCAAGCTGAGCACAGGACTGTCACTTCCAGGGGATGCAGGGACAGCTCTGCCTTCCCCATCCCTGTGTTCCCAGCTTCCCTACCAGGACCTCTCCCAGTTCCTGCAGGTTCCTCGGGTTAGCACCAAGCAGCAGAAAGGTCTAAATTAGAGCTGTTAATTCCTAACGAGGCACCTGGGCTTCCCAAAAAGGAGCGGAGCAGGAGCTGGGGATGAGCAGGGACCCCCTCAGTGGCTGCCCTGACTCAGTTCCTGGAAGAGCTGGTGCAGCCGTTCCGTCAGGGCCACCTGGGAATGGGAACAAGAGGGGTCAGGGAGCAGCTCCGTGGTGGCTTTGCTCAGGCCACCAAATCCAGTGGCATTCCCAGGCGCGTGCCAGTGGGATGTGGGAAGCGCTGGACATACCGGGTAGGGCTGTGGCTCGTGGAGCCGGCGGTGAGCGGGGCTGAGCAGGTTGAGGGACACCTGGGCGTGGGTCCTCACCTCGGGCAGGCTGGGCAGGGGCTCACACACCTGCAGGGATGGGGGTCCATGTGGGAAGATCCATGTGGGAAGCCACCACCCAGCGCCAATCCCAACGAGCCACCGCATCCGGGCTGGCACCAGAGTTTGTTGGCACATCTCAGAAGCCACCACCACCCTTGATCCATCCTCAAGTGGAAGAGGAGATGGGACCAGCCCTGACCTGGCCATCCCTGAAGTAGGTGCGGTGGAGGGGCTCCACGGTGGTGGGAATGACCTTGGTGGTCTCCCCAAGCCGCCCCAGGACACGGATCCCCAGCTCCTGCCCCGCGCTGGGTGACGGCTCCTCTTCCAGGGCCATCAGGTCCATGAAGGGGTGGCCTGCCAGGAGGACACCAGGGACGGAATGATGGAGCAGGAGATGCCGCCAGGACTCTGGGAAGGGTCTCCAGACTCACCAGCAGCGTCATAGAGCCGATAGATCGTCTTCATCCCCGGGATTGTCATCTTCTCCTCATCCTCCGTGAGCTTCAGGCATGGGGAGCCGTTGACCTCCACCAGCTGTGGGAGAAGGGAAGGGAACCCGTGACCCCTCTGGGGAGGCAACTGATGCAAATCAGTGAAAAAAGACAATTAAAAAACCCTAAAACCATCCCAAAGTTGGGAATTCTGCCTCCTCCCACCTGTGGAGGACTCGGGGATTCTGGTGGGCAAAGAATTGGCCATGACCCAGCACTGGCACCCGGAATTTCCCTGTGTCCTGGGCTGATCCCACAGCGTGAGCAGCAGGAAAATGGGAATTCTGCCCCTCTGCCCAGCTCAGGTGAGGCCACACCTGCAGAGCTGCTCCAGCCCTGGGGTCCAACATCACGAAGACGTGGAGCTGCTGGAACAGGACCAAAGGAGGCCATGGAGATGCTCCAAGGGCTGGAGCCCCTCTGCTCTGGAGCCAGGCTGGGAAAGCTGGGAATGTCCAGCCTGGAGAAGGCTCCAGGGAGAGCTCAGAGCTCCTTCCAGTGCCTGAAGGGGCTCCAGGAGAACTGAAGACGGATCTGGGACAAGGGATGGAGGGACAGGATGAGGAGGAATGGCTTCCCACTGCCAGAAGATGGATGATACTGGGAAGGAATTCCACCCTGTGAGGATGGTGAGGGGCTGGAATGGAATTCCCAGAGAATCTGTGGTTGCCCCATCCCTAAAAGTGTCCAAGGCCAGGCTGGATGGGGCTTGGAGCAGCCTGGGATAGTGGGATATGTCCCATGAAGGTGGAGGACCTTCAAAAACCCCTTCCAAGGCAAATTCTTTTGTGACTCCATGACTCCAGCAGGGCTGGACGGCCATGGAAGTGGCTGAGGATTTGGATTATTTGGGATTTAGGCTGCCACCTTTACCTTGTAGACACAGCCCAGCGATGGCTGCAGGGGACACGTCACCAGGTTGGTCCC